GGGATTACCCAGCATGCGGCATGTCTAAAATCTCAATGCATCAAAACACTTAAAAGGCTAAAAATAGACTTTGTCCCTTCATCCCGACACTAGTCTAGCCTGCGTGGCGGCTCTAGGGGAGTGGGGAGGGAGAAAACGGAAGGGGAGGGGGTGGGGAGGCGACTAGTCCTGAGACGTTTGTTTCTTTACACCGAGAAATGTTCGGAGACTACAGAAATATTTAAGCGTACATGGTGCACACGTGTAGATGCTACAATCCTGGACAAAAACAGTTAAGAATTGGCTGAATGTTGGAATATCTCCGTATACTTTCTAATTTTTTTCTGTCCTCCTCCGGTTCCGCTTCGCTCAAAGTTGTGTTTTTGAGAGCACGCGATTGGAGGAGGGGAGGGGGTTAAGAGGCTGTTTTGTTGAACTGACCTGAAGGGTGCAGTTATTCTCAACCTTCTTTTTGTCCAGGTTTGTAGCCTCTATCCGAATAAACACCTCTGGACTCGTGTAGACGGGACCTTAGATTATCATGGAACCTATAAGCCTCGCAACTTTCAATCTAAGATCATCTTTAGTGTTTTTTGAWGTTTATTGCATCAGACATGTGAAATGATCCGAGATAAACAAGCCGAGAGTAAACAAGCAAAAAATGCGAACGGATTTATTTTCTCCACCTTCGAAGTCGGRTCTAGTCCCTCTCGCTCTTTCCATAGGGAGTTCCGAGAGAGAGAAAAGCCCAACAATCCCTTTCCCTTTCTCTTTACTCCCTTTTTCTATTCCTTTTTTTTCTTCGATTTTTATTGTTGTCTTTTCCTTGAGCTTATCAGTTATTTTGAGYTGACTGGCGACCTTTTCCTAAAAATAAATATTTTTAGGCAATATTTAATATCCTTCTTGAAAACAAGCAACTACATTCGAMGTTTTCCGCGGAAAAATAAATTTTGCTTCGGGTCAGTGGCTTCTTGAAGTTTCGATTGGCCACTCTAAAACTTTGAGTGGCATCCAATTGACCAATCCAGACTCAAGGATTCGGTTCAATTGTTGGCATTTTAGAAAGCATTCYGTTGATAYAACGCAYCGTAGTAGATGCATTCAAACTTAATGTTTATCAACTTTTTTAWATAACCGACTACCGGCAAATGCTTGAAATTTTAACTGAMAACCGACATCGAGACCCCCCCTCCCCGCCCCCATTCAGACCTTGTTAAAGTGCACCTTGGCGAATGCAATAAGAATAGATCCAAAACCTTAGTATACAATATCTAGCGCCATATTGGACGTGCTATTTACAGATAACACCATACAGCTCCATCCTCATAGATGGATGTCCCTTCCAAGACTCGACTCTCAACCTAATGTATCTGGTGTATATGCTTGGGAGAAGGTCATTTTTTACCACAGTGTTGATGTCGGTGTTTCCAGTCAACTTCTTTCCTGATTCGTAGTCTGTGAAAGCGGTACCATCAACGCTGTACTTGAGACTGTAGGATGTCACCCATTCGTTTTCGTACTTGCT